TCTGTCTGTCTGTCTGTCTTTGAGAACAGTTTACAAAATGCTTTAGCAGATAGTTAAAGGTCATTCAAGGGTCAAAATCCATGCATATTTACAGGCCATATTCTATTGAAAAAGCTTCCTTTACGCTGCCAGCTAATGGAGAGGGCCAGCAGTGCCCACAAATCCTCTTACAAAGCTCCTATAATAAGAGGCTTGGCCTATGAAACTCTAAACTTCCATTTGATTTGTTGGAACAGGCCACTCTTAAATTGTCTCCTTCTACAGAGATTGTTTAGGTTTATCTCACTCATGCTGACCTACAATGAGCCACTTGTTTGGTTTAATTGGATGATATAATTGTATTTGGTCATACTTTATAAATAGAGTATAATTAAAATATATAAAAAATGCTTTATTGTTGGTGATCAGCTTTAACCTTGTAGGAGCAGCTTGCTAAATTAAGTGCTGAGGAACGGCATGACTAACGCTATAAAGAAAATGATCAATCCTAGAATGGGGACATGAATGTTTTCCAGTGATCATCACTAAATTTCCTATAGATGGCACATAAAATAATCCTCACCTCACTAACTTGACACAAAAAACCTTGAGTCACCATGAAGCAACTGAAGGACAGATTATGACAATAAAAACACGTGTTTTCAGTAAGTGGCTGTTGCATTGGTGTCAGTTTCATTTTCAAGTGAATCCTACCTAAGTCAGTGTCACCCTAACCCTGGCGCAATAACTGTCTCTGGCTCAAAAATATATCAGGAAGGTTACGTAATGTCCCTTTGTCCACTCTTTGCTCAGAGATTCGCAGATCATACAAAAGGAGATGTAACAGTCTGAAGACATTCTTTGAGGCTTTGATGCAGGAAAAAACGGATTTGTTTGCCTCCAGTTTTGACTTGACGCCTCATATGCAGCAATAATGTGGAAGTTTTGTCTGGGTGGCAACATGCTATTTATTCTAAACAATTAATGTTTCATAGTACTCAGACATTTTTTCCCCATGAGAAGATATTAACATTTTCCAGAACAATCAATAATTTCCTGTAAGTTAGTGCTGCTGCAACCCACACAAACAGTTATACAGGATACTTACACATGGCAAATCACTCCAAAAGCCAAGCCACCCACATGAACAGACCTGCAATTAACCCATGCAATATAATAGAAACTTTAAAGTTGTCCCTCCTGCTAAATTACATTCCTGGCTATCGACCTTTCCCACATATTAAAGCACATACACATAATATATAGCTTGGGTATCATGGAGATACAGTGTTAGACAACAGGAGAGCAATACAGGCAAACTTACTGGTCTTAAATGTCTTCAGGAGGCAACAGATCGCCCTTCCTAACAGTGGAACAACTAACTGTCTTCATTGCCACTGACTCTAAACAGCAGTGGATACTACCATCCCTCCGGACCACACAGCACAGCCTTTAACTCCCCAATGACCCACTTTTAACTCTTTTTAGTGTCTCCCCCTCACCCTCAATTGCCCACACCTGTCCCCCCATCAGATTGTCTTTCTCATGAAACCAATCACCTCGATATCTGTCATGTTTTAGCCTTCAATTACATCACAGAGCTTATGCCATACTGTGAATATATTAAACAGTGTATAGAAGGAAATCTAAAACATTTTATAAAAATACCAGCATTTCATGGCAGACCTATTACTTTAACTTCCGTCATTTTGACCATTTGGAGGTCAGGAACAAGCAGCTTGTTAATTGCTGACTTTTTACATACCTTTCCTTTTAAGTGGGTGTGGAGGAATAAAATCACAGTTCAGAGGTTTTTGAAAGTGGCCAAGGCTTTTTGAATGGCCAGAATAGTGAAAAAGCAGAACATTGTCCATCCAACTGAGAACAAACCCTTTAAAAATAAACCTGATCTAAGCACATCTTCTAACAGTGGTGTTAATAGACGCCACATTTGTGGTATTTCCTCCAAGTGGAACTCCCATCAGTGGAGCTTGAATTAGATGCAACCAAAGACACTCTAACCACTGAAACTTACTGAAACAAACTTTCCAGTAAACAAATAAAGGTATGCATGAAATACATGTTGCAAGAGAGGTTTAGGAGAGGTTAAAACTGAGCAGTGTTTGTTTTTTTAAGATTGAGGAACTGCTGAAAATTACTTTTTATCCACAAATATGCCAGAACAGTGTACCAGTGTAAAGTTTTTACACAACTTTGTTTTTCAGTTGTCACAACAGGGGACACATACAGAGAGAACTCCACTGATAACAACACATAAGAATTACTGTTGTGTTCTTGCCATAAACTGCACTCTCCCCCCCAAGGCCAGTGGTTTCTCTACAATATAAATTCTAACACTGCAACCTCTAGCCACATGTTTGTGGTTATCCTGATAAACTATTAATAAAGGAATGAAAGGTTTGCTGTATTGCTGTTTAATTTGTTTAATAACCATGTTATTACCTCTGTGCCTGCTTAAATTCATTTATCTTCTACTTGTCTTTCCTGTGGTATGGCACAAGGTTTCAGTTATATCTATCTACCTATCTATCTATATACATATATATAGCCCCAAGATATTTCCTAGTTACCTAGTTGCGCATCTTGCTTTCGTCCATAGACTGTTAAAAGTTGGACAGCAGACTGTTTCCTTCAATTTTATGAGACAAAAGAAGCCCTAACAGATTTGTGATCAGGGTAAGGGTCATTCTAGGTTCTTTTCCCTTTTTGCTAAGTCTTCTGTGAGAAGCTTTGGTAACCCTTGAGTCGCATTAAATCTCTGGTTTGATCTTGTTTTTTCAGATAAGAAATGTTGTGAAGTTGAGTTCTATTGTCTCATGCACTAAATTCCAAATTCTTATTCATACCTTCTGGATTATTTTAATTTATTATTTGCTTGCTTTAACAAAGCTTTTTTGCATTCTTGGCAGATTGTTCAGAATGCCACTATGAGACTTACATATCAGTTTGATGCTCATTCATTTCCGGCTTTCAAGTAAATTCAGTGTCCACTGACTACCAAGATTTTGTTTTTGACTTTTAGAGCACTACATGAACAAGCGACAGCATAGATCACTGAACATTTACATCCATACATCTTGGGGGTCCTTGAGGACCTGCTGGCTGTCCATCATACTAGACAGAGAACTATAAAAAAAGCCCATATGGAAAAGATATATATAAATCTTATAAAGTTTTTATCTGTCTTGTATGAAAATTGTATGAAAAGCATACAAGAGTGAAAACACATATAAGATCCCTTGAAAAATTATATAATGAAACTTGTATGTTTTGTATACTTACTAAAAAAATATATGAAAGTAATGAGAAAGTGGCTACTTTCATGAGTAAATCATGTAAGCCTTATATGATTTATATATGATTTATATATGATTTACTCATGAAAGTGGCCATATTCTTGAGTAAATCATATATGTTTTTACTATTTCTTTTCCATATGGGAGAGTTCACGGCAATGGCCTCCATAGACTCTGGAATGCTTTCCTCTTAGCCTGACAACTGGTTTCTTTCTAAAGGCAGCTAAAGCTTTTTGTCTTTATATTTTTAGCATTTTTGTTGTGGAATTTTGGTGCTTTATGAGTACAATTTTTATTTACTTGCTTTACTTATATAAATGTCTTCAGCTTTCAGTTGCGACCTTCTTTTGGCAGTCACTAATCATCCTATCAGCCAAAGATGTAGTTTAACATTTATGAGAAGGATTTCTTTAAAAAATTAAAATACTATCTGGTGTTCTCAAATGGCACGTACAAAAATATCCTTCTTTCTTTATATCCACGATGTTTCCCTTCAACTATCTCAATAAGTATTACGCCACCTGGAGAACAATTTTCATAACTTATTGGGTTATTACTGCTAGTACATAAACAGGGCTAATTTCTGAGATCTATCATAGATGGCATTTGTATTTGTCACAAAACATCTTAAGAACTCTCCGTACAGCTTAGTGGTGCTCTATAAATATTTCAACAGGAACAAAACACTAATTATATTTTCTGGTAAACCAATACGATATGCTTTACAGCATTTGGCTTTGTCATCTTCATCAGGTATTGGTGTAATCAGTTTGGAGCGAGCCTATCCTCTCACTCTTGGGTCCAACATTGGCACAACTGCCACAGCCCTGCTGGCAGCTTTGGCCAGTCCTGGGAACAAACTTGCTGCTGCCATACAGGTAGGTTTTGTTTGTTTTTCTGGATACAAAGGACATATAATAATAATAATAATAATAATAATAATAATAATAATGATGATAATGATAATGATAATAATAATGATAATAATAATAACAACAAAAATTTCCAGAGGGTTGCTGTGGAAAATGTAATTTAAAACAAAACAAACATCACATGTTTAAACTGAAAAGTTTGATTTTGCTTTGTATTTGCTGTGTTTTGACTTCATGGCCATAACCTGCTGAATCTGAGCTTTGTATAAGTAATCAAAATCAGCCATATACTGCCAAAATAACCCTCTTTTTGCCTAACATATGGTAGCCGTTTGAAACATGTAACCAAAACATAGCAAGTTATAGCTAGGCTGTAGAAAAACTCCGCAGTGTGAGGTATTTTGTAATGTAGTGTTACAATAAGCTACCCATGAAAGCTACGTTGCATAATTGGAATATATTTATGATATCAGTGTGACATTATAAGAAATCAGTAGACGCTTTCTACTGGTATGACTTTGAGTTGACATCAATACACATTAAGCATTTGAATTCTTAATTATTAGGTCTCTTGTCTTCTAGATTGCTCTGTGTCACCTTTTCTTCAATGTTTTTGGCATTCTGTTGTGGTATCCTTTCCCATTCATGCGTCTACCGATAAGGATGGCTCGTGTTCTCGGTGAGCGCACTGCCAAGTACCGCTGGTTTGCAATCTTGTACCTACTCCTCTGTTTCCTCTTGCTTCCATCACTGGTGCTGGGCCTCTCACTGGCTGGTTGGCAGGTGATGGCTGGAGTTGGGGCTCCTTTCTTGGGTGTAACCATCTTCATTACCATGGTGAATGTAATGCAGTCCCGCAGCCCCCATCACCTGCCAAACAAGCTCAAGAACTGGGACTTCCTGCCCAAATGGATGCGCTCTCTCAAACCACTGGACCACCTAATTGCCAAAACAGTTCTCTGCTGCAGCTTTTCTTGTGAAGACAGACAAGAGGAGGAAGAAGCACCAATATCTCCAAGTACAACCTCTTGCAACAAACACACAGAGTTTGCTCAGCTTGCTTACAACAACCCAGTCATGGATTACCTGCATGAGAGAAGACCAGATGTACCAGTTCTTAAATTAAAAGGTTTAGAGAGGTGCAACAGTACTCCTCTGTAATTCATCCAATAATGAGGGCTTTTGACAAATTCATCCAATGACTGTAATTCATCCAATAATGAGGGCTTTTGACAAAATGGAAGAAAAATTCCATTTTGTCAAAAGAGTAGGTTTTAGAAAAGTAACTTTTAATTTTTTGGAAATAAACTGATTTGTGATTCCTGACTGACTGACTGACTTCGTTTGAAATGGAAAGCAATTTTAGGATGAGATGTGAGTTCAGAAAAGACCAACTAAGAATCAATGAGGAGAACAATTTTTTTTTTGTTTTTTGTTTTTGCCAATTTTTAACCAACGATTCCCTCATAATGAATGTCTATACTGACCTTTTAAATATAAATCTATACAAAATGTATGACTAGCCTAACTGACGTTAATAAATGGATGATTAATCCTTAAAAAAGGTTTCATAGAAGAGATAGTTTTTTTTTAAATTTTACACTCATTTCTTGTAAATTAGTGTTTGTAAAATCTACATTATGATGCAATGCCATGGCCTCTCTTACCTATCAAAACATAATGATTTAAATATAAATTATTTGAAGTAAAACTGGGAAAAACATTGTGAAAGTGTTGGTATTTATTATGTAATCATGCATAACTATTTAGACAGACACTTTCATCATAAAAATCAACCTTATAATAAGATTGCATAATTATCCATATCTAGATTATTATAACAAAGCACAAAACTTAAAAAAATGCTTACTGCAAACTAGTTTCTGCATTCAAAGCAGTGGTAGGAAACTCCTACAATCCCTCTTTTGATCTCTGTTTTAATTGGAGTTTTAAAAAAAATGATTCGTATTTCATTATTTTGAGAATTTCTTACATTTCTATGACATGTTCCTGGTCTTGTTGACCACAAAAAGCACTTTTTTACTACAAGTAACATTGTCTGTGTCTCAGTCATCCAAGTCATGGTCATTTTAGGAGCGACCGGACTTCTTCATGTCATGAAGACATTTCACCCAAGAGGCTTCTTCATTTCCTGAAGAAATTAGGTGGAAATACAGACAGTCTCAAGGTCCCTCTTCAACTCTGTCACTACTGTCCCACAAAAAATACACACAGATATGATATGTACAGTTTCACAGTTTGAAGATTCCCTAAAACTAAGATTATTCTTGTGCATCTAAAATCCAGCCTCCATGTAGCACCTGTACCTGTTTTCCTTTTTTTTGGGTCACATTTACTGCTGTCAAATGTCAACCTGTGTAAAACTTGACCCAAACAGTGAGGATTTACGCACAAACATCAACGATTCCACAAAGAAACCAAATAATTTTATCCAGTTTAAGAATATTTAATAAATTCATTAAAAATAAACACCACCATGTGTAGGAATGCCAGAATGAGTACATAACAATAACAATTATTAGGCCTTATTTCCCACAGAATGCAGAAATGGTTGAGGAAGATATTTATTTTATCTTCTAGTTTTTGTAGAAAAATCAAGAAAAAGAAATGAGCGCTGTTTAGTCCAGAGTTTAATAAAACAATCATATTACCAAGTGGAGAAATGTTTGATCATTAAGTGAAAATACCATGTACTCACTGGTTATATAAGTCTTAGTGGGCGACTGAATACACAGAGACTCTACAAGGAATTCAAAGAATCACCACATTAGCTGCTTGATGTTGTCTACAAAGAAGTGCATGAATGTGGCATGAACGTGTTGCGGGCTTGTGTGTGTGTTGTAGTTTTTGTGTGTGTATGCTTTTCCAAGTGGGTGAGTATGCACACTCGGGAGGTGTTGCTGAAAGTGTGAATATGTGCCGTTTTCTCTGCTGTTCTGAAACAATTGATAAAGAAAGGGGAAAAAAAAGAAGAAATATGGGCTTGCTGAAATGCACTGATGCAATCAGAGAACAAAGTCAGACACTTTCACTTGTAAGGTGATGGACAAAGACATGACGAACTGAAGAGCAACCATTAGCCTGCCAATAACTTTTGTTCAGAATTGTCTAAAATAAGAGTTTGTTTATTAAGATTAGTCATCTTTGGTTTCACAGCTCACCTTTTCTTTAACGAAAAGCATCGTCTTGTCTTCATGTCTCTCTGATAGTGTTTCGCTTTGATGTTCAAAAGTCACCAATACACATGCCAGTCTGCACTGAGTTTACACCGTCTTGCTGATTCGTTGAACCTTGAAGGAATCGGAGAGCAGCACGAGAAGAGAAACTACCATGAGTCCTTGAACCTCATTCTTACATCCACTCATTATAAAATACACCCAGCTCTGTTCCTTCTCGTGAGAGGTGATGTGAGTGCTGATAATCATTTGTGTGGGTGCAGTTTGGATCAATGCTGGAGTCCAGCAGGGCAGGGTCACTCCAGCCAAGCCTTTTTGAGTCCAAGGATTCACAGTGAGGACCTGGAGCTGCTAGGACTTTCTGCTGTTTTTTGTTCAGTCTCTACAATATTGCAGAGAAAATAACACGATCGTTCACACATTCACGCCTCTGAGTGCCCTTTCTCTTCACTCATCCACGATGTGTAAAGTGTTTCAATCGTTTTTCCATTTCTCCCAGTGCGATCATTGTGATCCCATTAACGTGGAATCTGTTACTTCCTACCTTATGCTCTCTCACACTTATTTACTCTCAATGCTCTGTGCGAGCAAAGCAAAAGAAGAAACCAGTCCACCAGACTCAATTAAATTCTGTTTATTTATATAGCGTCAAATCACTGCAGCAGTAGCCTTAAGGCACTTTATATTGTAAGATCAGTGGGAGACCTGTGCAGCGCCAGTGTGAAGGAAAAACTCCCTTTTAACATGCAGAAATCAGACAGAACCAAGAAACACTGGAAGAGAGCCAGAGATTAATAATAACAAATGATCAATTGCAGATTGGTGTATAAACACATGGTGTGTGATGATGAAGTCACGCCGCACACATTTCAGCAACTGTGTTCATGAACCCTTTCAACCCTCAATCCTTCCAATTTTGCTTGCAAGGCATTATGCTTCACCGCCCAAGTGCTGATTTAGCAATAATCTGTCATCAGCCTTCTCTCACTGTGTGATGAGAAGGCATTACAACATACTTATTCCACATAATCATCCAGGGACATCATTACTGAAAAGGTGAGGGCAGAAGAGGTGTAAGGAAATAATGATTCTGAAGTCATCTGCTGTTTTGGGTTCTGAAGCAACAGTCAATATATTATTATTATTATATCAGAGTGTATGAAGTTAAAACGAATGAGTGATCTTTTTTGATTCCACAACATTTCCGGTGGTGTTAAAATTGCCTCTTTGATTTCCGATACTCAAGCACAGAGTTTCAGTTTAGCATTTAGCTTTGGTTCATGCCTTGAGTTCTATTAGTTAGCAATAGTCGGTTTAGTACTCAGCTTTACCCTCTGAGTCTTGTTGCCTCTGGATTAGAAAAGTATCTTTTGGGTGTTTCCTTTTTTACCTTGACAGCTGGTTTAGGCTGTTTGTCTGATAGTCTTACCTTTGCCTGTGTCTTGCTCCCAAGCAGTTATCAATGTGTGTGTGTATATATATATATAGTCCTGTATTGCTCTTTGTGTTTGTCAGAGCATCTGTGGAAGAAGTAACTTTATTGCTGTGACTAATTAAACTCAAAAGTACAAACATATAAAAATTCAGAAACTAGGAATTATCAAGTAGGAATAAATGATAAATGAGGGGAGGGCCCGTGGAACACAAGGAAACACACAATAAATGAAAAACAATGAACAGAGGGAGACTGAGGACTTAAATGTGCAGGACAAGAGGACAAGGGAAGCAAAACTGAACACACTGTACACTGGAAAAGAAACTGGAAGCAGGATAAACATGGAGATGAAGACAGGCTTGACACTTGGACCAGGGAGAAAAGGACACGGGGACATGACTGACTGGGTAGACGAGAAATAAACAACACGAAGACAACGCTGACTAAACACAGGAGAGGAGCAGACACTGAGGGAAGAAAAACTCAAAGATCACTAAACTAAATGCTAAAAGAAACATACTTTAAGCATGATGTAAAAACAACCATGAAACTATATTCAAAATAAACAGTATAATGTCCATAAACATAGAAACATTAAGTTAAAGACCCAGTGCCATCACATTGTCTCTGCTCCTAGCACCAGATCTGTACTCCCTTTTGGATTAGAAAAATGTCCTTTATTCTTCAGCCTCTCATAAGAAAACAAATTGATCTTTCATGGCCTGTGGCTGTTGGGCCTGATGGGATTACGTGTTTATCCAAACTAGCAGAAGCTTCTGCACTTAAACAGTTTGCAGTTCTGTTTCAAAACAAAGGTACTATTGTCCGACTATTACATTATCAATAAACGGGCTGGTACCAATCATCCTCTGTTTAATTACACTTTTCTTCTAATAACACGTATAACACGGACACAGTCCTTTGTTGTTTTTCTGATTGATCAGCAAGCCTGCACACGATTTGTTGAAATAATGAGTCTAAATATAGTCAAAACACAGGTGTACTGCAATATCTATAACTCCATAGTGTTTTATGGGGAAGCACAATTATAGAGCATACATAGAAGCTGTACAGTGCAGTCCAGGCCACCTCTCACTTGTCCAACACCTGGAAATAATGGTACATGTTAAACAATGTCCAGAAGTGGAAATTATCACTGGCAGCTTCATTTCAGGTAACTGTGGTAATACAGGAAGTGTTAAAACTGAAGCTGTGCAAATGAGTTATTACTGTGTGGGCAACGTTCACACACTGTAAGCCACTGCCACAGGCAGGTAAAAAAATTCTCTGCCACAATCTAATATAGTCTAATGGTAGCCAAACTGGAAGTAGTGGTTCTGGGCTCTTATCTGCTTAGGGAGCCCCTGGGTGGAAAGTGGACAACCAGCCTGTGCCATTTAGTAACATTAGCATACAGTTTCGACTCAGTACTTTCAATTTAAAAATGACCCTTGGATTTTCATATTTTCCCCTCCCCACTCAGAGAAATAGGGAGAGAGAGCGAGGAAGAGAGAAACAGATGTGAGTGTTTTTGGGGGGGACTGGCTCTTTCGCTGCTGGACAAGGTGGGTGGTTGATTTGAAATATTCAGTGCTTTCAGTGTTGATGCTGATATTGTGTACAGGCTTGTCGTGAAAGTTGTTTATACAGCATGTTAGGGGTTCCTGAATGCTGGCTGATGCAATGATGCTTCACTTCAGTTACCTAGCATGCACAGAATGTGTCATTTATTCCTGTTTAAACGGCAAAACAAACAGCGTTATTATCCTTATTCAGAGCCATTTATGGCAATCATTTTACACGACGCGGCTTTTTAACGACTGCAATTTCTGAAATGTTTTGATAAGTTGGTTTGCTGTTTTGATAACTTACAATTACATGTGTGCATGTGGCTGGAATTATACCAATCTCAAGGTCATACTCAATTTATATCCCGTGCTGAAATATTTAAAGCTCTACATTCACAGTAAATCTTGCTTTATCTGTTTTATGCATTGGTGCTTTCCCTTAACTCCATCTGGGCCAGGGCTTTCAATCATCAGTCAGCATAATAATGCAAACAAACAGGATGTTGCAATGCAGTAGAGACAGACAAGCGAACATGTTGTATAGCACTGTGAACAGGATGCATCTAATGGCAAAATATAAGGAAATGAAAGCAGAATTTGTGAAAGCAGGAATAAGAATGAGCTGCAAAGTAAATATGTGCATTAAAGAAGAGACTGAAATCTGATGTCACCAAAGCAAGGTGGTTTCTATTTTTAATCAGCCAAAAGCCATGTGTTGCCTGGTCCTCATGACATGCATAAAGAATATAAAAACAGCTGAATGTAAATTGCAAGATTGGAGGGAAAAGTAGAAAACAGCATCTGACAAGCAGGCACATTTCCAGACAACGAGACAGAAGCAAAGAACAGGAGGACAAACAAGACTCTTTGACGTCATGCAGTCCAAGCTGGGATATAACATTACATATGGAATCAAACTTTCAGTATATTTAGCTTCCTGTAGACTTGCTAATGTGACACACACACACACACACACTCTGAAAAGTATGCAATGTATAATGTGTTTTTTATTTCAGTATTTCCTCCATATGCTATTTTCTGTTCTCAATTTTCTGCCTTACTGTTGCTTCATGTGATTTATTCTGTACACTGGTACACTATTTGTTATATAATATTACTATTATTTTCATTTATTTGGTGATGTGTGACCTAATATGTCCATACACATAATGTCAGTGTGTCCATAATATTCTCTATATCTCCATAATTCACGTGTTTATGGAGTGAAGGTGGAAGCTGGATCTCTCTAAGCCCCAAATCATGCTTCATAATAAAGCTACCCCCCCTGATTTACTCTCACTTGGCCTCCCTTCATTTACTTTGGTTGCAGCTGAGCGTGTTTGTCACAGGTAGTATAAAGTCAGTGATTCAGTGCGTATCTTGTCGCTTGCCTTGTTTTTGGAAGTGTAAGTTGGCCGACTTCTGCCAGAACCCCGCTGTTGTTCTGCCAATCTAATCCAGTGTCCATATGAAGTCACTGATGCAGTTTTGTTTAAGTCTTTTGCCTTAATCTGCATTGTTTTTCCCAGTTCTGCTTTAATTATCATTATTATTATTATTATCATCTCTCTGTATTTATCTTAGGTTGGTCAGGCATTTACTATGTAAGTGGAGCGTCTGATGTGCCACTCAGCTGTTTGGAGTGGTCATAGTCTATGCCAGCTCTCCCTTCCAGAGATGAACCACACCCTGCCACCAAACTAGATTATACCATTTCATTTGAAGTGAGGAGTGGAGCACTGAGTACCTATGTGCACTCCTGGGCTCTCATGAGTGTACTGGAGGCTGTTCTGTAGGTGGTTGTGGTGGAATTAAGGCACGATGGGTCCAAAGATCATAGTTTTGAGCCATCTTTATTTCATGTGGCTGCAGCTCTCAAGCTGCCAGCCGCAAATACACCACACCACAATACACACCAACCCCTGAGTCCCCGTGTTTATAACTCGGCGGGCGTGATTAAGGATGCCGTGCAGGTGCGTCCGCCCTCCCTGCACGGCACCGCAGACCACGCCCCACCACAGTGGTCTTCACCTAGTTTCCTCGTTTTTCTTTAAGATTAATTAAGGCTGATGGTTTTTACTCTTTTAATGTCCATGCCTTTTGATTTTCTGATTAGGTCTTTTTAGATTATAGTATCAATGAAGTAGGATTTTAATTCCTTACTTGTATTTGGAAATCTGCTTTGTGGCTTTTCTTCTCCAGCAGCTCTGTTCCCCACCCATTTGATTTGACATCCTTGTCTCAATATAATAAATCTTTGTGTCTCTGTTAGTTTACAATATAACTGAGAGATTTTATTGTATGTTAATATTTTCTGGGGTGCAATTCCCTGGTGTTATTGCTGGCCTCCTTCCCTTTCATTCCCCCTCCCCACATAGTGCTTTCCAGTCTCAACGCATCAACCACGTGTTTTTACTGGTAGCAGGTGGCAATTATTAACTCTGATATTGAAAGTGAAGATAATAAGCAATAAGTTCCTCTTGCACCAGACTTTAACAGCAGTTAAAGATAAATGATTAAGAACGGCTGCAGCACTCATAAGCACTTTCTGAAACATTAATTGAACATGTGTACCTATGTCTCAGCAAAAAGAAGAAAGCAAGTAAAAAAATAATAAAGTAAAAGGTAAAGTCAGGCATCAAAATGAAAGAAATGAGGCCTGACTAATTACATCAATTTGTATCTTCATTGTTTCTCAGCAGCAGTGACTATGAGCTCTTCATAAACCAACATTTTTTTAAATGCCTGTTTGTTACTGTGTAATTAAAATAATTTTAGTCAGTATCTGACAATTGATTGTGCTGCCAAGTGAGATACATGGAAGGTCACACACTGTATGTCTATTGTATCTGAGCCAACACATTTCAGTAGATGAGACAGCAGTCAGTTAGCTAAACCCAGCCAAACAAACAGTCTCTGGTTTATTGTTTTGTCTTTGGAGCAACAGCAGATACTTAACCCGCATAATGCAGCAATACTGAGCAAACAGCACTGAACCACAGCACTGTTTATTTTGTTAGTATTTATTTACCAAGGCAAGCTGGAAAGTTAAAGCTGTGCATCAGTCTCTTTGTCATAAAAATATATGACAATAATATTGTGTAGTATGCAACGCAAAACAGCAAAAACATAATATGTTAAAATATGTGCAGTTACTGATTATTTACAGTAATGTGTATATCAGCCTTAAAAAGTGCACCATGATGGAAGTTTAAACTGGAAATGAGGAGGATTTGTCCGATCACAAGGTGGCTCTGTCTTTCAGTCTGGCCCGTGCTGAAATAGAGCAGGTCTTTGTTGCTGTCCATCAATCTAAAAAGGGGATATGAGGCTGTTTCCAAACAATTTGAAGTCCATCATTCTACTGTGAGAAAGATTAGTCACAAGTGGAAAAAAATCAAAACATTTCCCAATATTAAATACAATGAATGTCCCAGCACATTCGCCCCAAGTTAAGAGAAATTACAAAAAACACAAGAGCTACATCTCAGACTCTAAAGGCCTCAGTTAGGTTGTTAATTGAATTAAATTCAAAAAACATGGAACAATTTGTTTGAAAGCGTTGCTGAAAAAAAGCTTGTTCTCTCTAAAAAGGTAGCACAGCTTGCAAAGACGCGTTTGGGCAAACGTTTGGAGCAAAGGGTTTTGGACAGAGTGGAGCTGTTTGGCTATAACGCACAGCACTGTGTTTGGAGAAAACCAAACATGGCACATCTGTACATGCCAACTGTCAAGCACGGTGGGGGTGGTGGTTGGTGGAGGTTATAAATTGTGTATTTTTTTGTAGCCACAGAACCTGAGAACCTTTGAGTCATTGAGTTGACCACAAGCCCTCCTGTTTACCAAAGCATTATATAGTCAAATATGAGGCCATCTGTCCAACAGCTAAAGCTTGGCCCAAATCGAGTGAAGCAACAGGACAATGATCTCAAACACAACAGCAAATCTACAACAAAATGACTGAAAAATTAAAAAATCCAGGTGCAGCAAAGTCCACACCTCAACCTGACTGAAATGCTGTGGGACCTTAAGAGAGCTGTGCATAAACAAATGCCTACAAAACCTCAATGAACTGAAGCAACAATGTCAAAAACAGTGGGCCAAAATTCCTCCACAACAATGTGAGAGGCTGATAAAGTCTGTGTCAAGTTATCGCTGCTAAAGGTGGTTCTACAAGCTATCAAATCATGGGATGTACTTGGCTTTTCCTACACCGCTTTTGCATTTTGGCCTAGTTTTTGATAAATAGATAATAACTAGAATAATATGGCACGTGTTGTGGGTCATCTCAGGTTGTATTTACCTAATTTTAAGACCCGGTAAATTATTTTTTATTATTTTGTTATTTGTTACACAAAAGTAATAAATTAATTGTCTTGTTAATTAACAAGATTCAAGTATTCTGTTGGAGGAAAGCAGAGGTTGAGGTGGCGATAGACTGTGGCTGAAGATGGCAGCTAGTTACGGGTTTCTTATAAATGAGGACTAGACAGAGAGAGCCAGTTGGCTGAAGATGTGAAGAACACTGAAGCACAGTGAAAGAAACGGTTTCACCAGATAATGCAAGAGTTGCAAGTGATGATTCTAAATGTTACAGCTCCAGCTGGAAAAATCTGGCTGAAAGAGGTTGAAAGAGCTGGCCAATATGATGAAGCTGGAGGTGATTAGATTATGACGATCAAGTGCATCGTTCAGGAATTCAATGGGGAACTGGCGAGCAGCCTCACCTCTGAAACCTCACAAGGGAACAAGCACACACTCTCACAGAAAGAGAGAAAGAGAAGAGGAGGGAGTAACGGGGGTAGGTGTGAGATGTTGGACTCCATTAGAAGCACGAGGGGTCAACGGGAAATAATTACACGTTCCTTTTGCAGCTTTTTTTCTAAAGCATTTTTTATGTCCTGTTATTATTATATAAAGCGGAGTAACTGTTTTGTTACAAGACTACTTCATAATGGACTCTGATATAGCTATGACCTTTTCAACTAGACTTGTTTCAACAGAGTGTGTGAATGGGAGCTAATAGTGCTAGTGATAGCTCAGGCCACTCTTGTGCTCTTTCATGTCTAACTTTCTTGTCTGAGGAGCTTTTTTCTTCCCCATCTGAAAGCTCACTAGTTTGGTTTTGTGAAAGAAAATGGCATGTTTGAAAAATGATTGCAATATAATAGGGGTGGCTGTCAGCAAAAGAACAGAAATCTTGGCAACACAATATTATGTACAGAGTATCTTGCCAGTATGTGATAACAAAAGCATCAACAAGTGCCAAATCTTTTCAACAGACACTGTAAAATTACTACACTGGTTAGTTTGGAGATATTCTGATGTATTCTCTTAGTTTCCGAATAGATTTATCATTTTTAAAAAGGCACTTTTGTATCATTGTAACCCCATGCAGTCTTCAGCTGTACAAAAAGGACTTTATTTCCTACCTTTATTTGGTGTTGTGGCCAGCAGTTATGGAAATCTTTGCCTGAGCTCATTTGTTTTTGTTGATAGCCTTCTAATCACATGCACATGCTCACAATCAAGCATAGCCAAACAAGGGAAAAAAATACAGACGCTCATGCAGCACAGCTCAAATGAGCCTTTAAAATGCTGAAAAGAGAGCATTGCATGTGCTTGTTTATCCTCTGTGTCTTAACCCTGGAGAACCCATGGGGTCAAATTTGACCCCATGGGTTCTCCAGGGTTAAAGGAGAAAACATACAATTAAGAGCAATAAATAATTAGTTCAGCGAAACTTCTGTGTTCAGTGGGTGGTAAAGCTGACTTCCAAGAACAAGGTACGAAGATGATGATGAGGCTCATGTGCAACCCTCACACAGATTTATCACAAAAGTTTAGACATAATGAGTATTTTTTTTTCATTATTTGCTCACTATATATAATATGTACAAGTAAAAGTCACAATCCTGCTTAAGTAATACAAATGTTCAAGTGTTAAAATCTGTTCAAACTATCCATGATGAAGAATTATGTACATGATGTTACCGGATCATAAGAATTGATTCATTAATGTTGCGCTCACTTTAATGTTGTAGCTGGAGATGATCCCCTTGGGGACCTTGCATAATTTATTATACATTTAGATTTTAAATTTTGCTAAATTTTAAGTAAGTAAAGTTTTAAAATCGAGTATAGAATTAGTACAATGTTTCTATTTAAATTATAAGTAGAGGTAGAAATAGCCTAAAATACTTAAATAAGATACAAGTGAAAAGAAAGCTGTACTTCAGCATGCTGGTTTTATCCACATTGTCATGCAGTGGTGCTGAACATTGTAAAATCACCAATAAACAATATTACTCTCAGAGGAGTAAATGTTGCCAATGATGCCATAGAGTCTTAATTCAATTTAATTGAATTCAGTTTTATTTATATAGCACCAAATCAAACAATATATATACACACATATATATATATAAAAAACACCCAGCACGCCCCTGCGGGCGGTTTATCCTTCAAGCTCGGGTCCTCTACCAGAGGCCTGGGAGCTTGAGGGTCCTGCGCAGTATCTTAGCTGTTCCCAGGACTGCGCTCTTCTGGACAGAGATCTCCGATGTTATTCCCGGGATCTGCTGGAGCCACTCGCCTAGCACCTAGTGCTCCGATTACCACGGGGACCACCGTTACCTTCACCCTCCACATCCTCTCGAGCTCTTCTCTGAGCCCTTGGTATTTCTCCAGCTTCTCGTGTTCCTTCTTCCTGATATTGCTGTCATTCGGAACCGCTACATCGATCACTACGGCCGTCTTCTTCTGTTTGTCTACCACCACTATGTCCGGTTGGTTAGCCACCACCATTTTGTCCGTCTGTATCTGGAAGTCCCACAGGATCTTAGCTCGGTCATTCTCCACCACCCTTGGGGGCATCTCCCATTTTGACCTCGGGACTTCCAGGTTATACTCGGCACAGATGTTCCTGTACACTATGCCGGCCACTTGGTTATGGCGTTCCATGTATGCCTTGCCTGCTAGCATCTTGCACCCTGCTGTTATGTGCTGGATTGTCTCTGGGGCATCTTTACACAGCCTGCACCTGGGGTCTTGCCTGGTGTGATAGACCCCAGCCTCTATGGATCTTGTACTCAGAGCTTGTTCTTGTGCTGCCATGATTAGTGCCTCTGTGCTGTCTTTCAGTCCAGCTTTGTCCAGCCACTGGTAGGATTTCTGGATATCAGCCACCTCCTCTATCTGCCGGTGGTAC